TAAAAAAATAAATTTTATACTTAATATAGTCATTGTTGAAGAAACAGAAAAATATTAAATTTAAACTAACTTTATGGGATAAATTATTAATGACACTTAACTTTTGAATTCTGCAACGTAAAAATTTGTTAAAAATAATATATGCAAAGTTCAAATAAAATAAATAAACATTATACTTACTTCAGTATCTTAAGTAATAAACTTAAGTTAATACAAAGGTAAAGCGTAAAAATTTCTTTAAAAAAATATAATTTCTTAATCCAGATTCAGTAACGAAATTTCGCGTGTTAATCGTCCGGCCTCCAATCGCCTACTGGTCTTAACTTGATTTCCAGGTCTGAGTTAAGAATAGCCTTGATTGCAGGTAATATTTTTTTCTTCAAAAATGTATTGCTAGTAATTTTATTTTTATTTTTTTAAAATGTATTGCTGGTAATATTTTTTCTAATAATGTATTTTTGATATTAAAACCTATTATTACATTTTCATAGAATTTTGATCCCAGTTTGGGGGTTATCTGCCTATAGCTGGGACCCTAACTGATGCTACCACCCTGGGTCAGGATATACCTAGGAGCACTATCAATCAAGAGGTGGTTCCACACTCATCAAAACCTCCTGATCAAAGGCCTTGCTGTCGGATGTAGTTCATAGATTTAAAATAAGATATATTTCGACAGCAATAAATCTTTCAAACATGAGGATAAGATTAAATATCTCCAAATGAAAATAAATAATATTGGAACTTTTTCCAAATTTACTGATGACATAAGAGAACTAATTCAGAATATTTGAAAAATTTTATAAAAAAAAATTGATGGACAGAACTTGTTGATATTATTTAAGCAAATATGTATGAAATAATTATCCAAAAAAGTCTTATTAAAAGCACCGACAGGGTATGGAGATTTACTTGACACACCCACCATTGAGTCAGGTTGTGATACAAGGTCAGTTTTTAACGTGGGAACCCGAGTGTTTTCACTCAGGCCGGTGGTCTATGCTGGTCTTAGCTGGTCGTAGCTTGTCCAAGCTGGTCAGAGGTGGTCTAAGCTAGTCGTAGCCGTGATACCACCAGCACAGGGTATGCCTGTTTAAATTTTTAAACTATTTTCCAATTTCCGGATAAGGTTTTCATTATTGTGATTTAATTCTTGGATAAACTGTCTGAAGTTTATATTGGGTTATTTTTGTTCAAGTACATTCGACCATCATCGTTATTTTTAAGAACCAATGTAGTGTCTGTGTGATAGGCAAAATGTCTTTGAGTATATCCTGGTAATCTTTGGAAAGCTAGAAGTTTGAAGTAATTTATGGTCACGTCATGTGTAACGTTTGCAACAACTATTGATATCACCGTAAATTGTTTCAAATTTCCAACTTACTCAATAATTAGCACCTTATTTGAAAATTGGAAAAAATAAAATTAAAAATTAAACCTACAGACCTTGTCAGTTCTTTTAAATCAAAATTGTCTGTAGTCTCTAACAAAGCTTTAATAAAATTGGTAAAAATGTAAAATGGCATTAAATGTTATATGAACTTTAATATACTGTTGCTATATTCGTGATAAATTTTGTTGAGTGTTGGCTGATTTTCATATAGAAGGACTCGAGAATTTGAAGTTTTTGTTTATTATTTTCATAGTTTCGTACATTGATGTTATCAGCAAGTATTTTCCATAGTATTATCTTTTCCATAGTTTCCAAATGAGTGTGTGTGTGTGTGTGTGTGTGTGTGTGTGTGTGTGTGTGTGTGTGTGTGTGTGTGTGTGTCTTTCATTGAATAATATAGATATATTATGTCTATTTATTTTTATACTGATACTTTCCAGTTTTCTAATCCGTTTCTTGATGCTAAGATGAAATTCATTAAAGAAGGTGCCGTAGTTTTTGTTAACCCAAGTACTTTCGATCTTTTCCAAGATCATCTTCAGGGGTAAATTACAAATACAAACTTATCGTAACTGCGATAAAATCAGCATTTAGTTGTGATGGCGATTTTTAATAACACGCGCGAACGCGCCCCGTAATTATTTAAAAATTTTAAATTTATCCATTGTATCTATGGAAGTTTTTAGAAAACAAGCGTTTCAATATAAGGGAGATGACCGGAAATTGAAAAAATGTAAAATGACATTAAATGTTATATGCACTTTAATATGTTGTTGCTATATTCGTAATAAATTTTGTTGAGTGTTGGTTGATTTTCATATAGAAGGACTCGAGAATTTGAAGTTTTTGTTTATTATTTTCATGGTGTCGTACATTGATGTTATCAGCAAGTATTTTCTTGTAATGGTGGACAGGAATGTTTTTGGATGTTGTGCAGTAGAAGTTGAATCCTACAAAAATGGAAGACGTTTGATAATGTGATATGTACAATATATGTACTTTACTTTTTTGTCACACACACACACACACACACACACACATATATATATATATATATAGATAGATAGATAGATAGATAGATAGATAGATAGATAGATAGATAGATGTCTGAAAAAAACGATACCTAATGTTTAAAAGGTATTTTTAGAAAAGGAAAAAATCTTTTAGGAAGCTTTCATTGTAGTTTTAATCTCAAGCTCTTGGATTAAATTTAATATTTCCAATAAACAAAATAGTTTATTTCAAACCGAACTGGCTGTAATTTGTTTCTGAGTATCTCCCATATTGACAAAGATTTCAACACAGCATAATTATCCTTATTAAAACATCTTTCAAAAATAAAATATATTTTGTGAAACGTTCTTTAAGAAAAAAAATAGCTGGTTTAAAGTTTAATTAATCTGAATTGTAATAAATTGATATAAAATATCGCAGAAAAATATTTTTTTAACAAGATGGTGGGTATTTTTTATGAACTCTAAACAAATTTATCGACAGCCTGATGTCTAGGAAATTTTAGTAAGGAGAAGATAATTGTAATAAAATTACATGACGAACACAACGTAAAAATATCTTTATTTCATTTTTTAAGTACATAGTAATCATAAAATTTTAAATATTTTTAACATTTCAATATTGTAATTAATTTTCGTTTTTTTTTTTTTGTTTTTTTTTGGCTTTATAGTCTTACTTACGAAAACGTCCTTATTCACTTGTGGAGAGCCATGATTACCAATATTTGAGGGGTCACAGCCCATAAAAGAAGTTAAGGTGAGATTAATAGTAGGACAGAGACAAAGAGAGAGGACAAAGACTCAACAGTTACTTAGAGCGACAAAAGAAGGAAACTGTGGAGGGCCATAATCACACTAGTCCTTCAGGGTCACAGCACATAAAAAAAGATGAACTGAAAGTGGTGATCAAAAAGGAACGAAGAGGGAGGGTAAAAGGTCAACAGTTACTTAGAGCAACAAAAGAAGGAAACTGTGGAGAACCATCATCACCTTCGTCTTGCAAGGTCACAGCACATAAAAGAAAAAGTGAAAGTGATAGTCAAAAAGTGACAAAGAGGAAGGGTAAAAGATGAAAAATGAATTAAAGTAACTCAAGAAGGAAGTTGTGGGGAGCCATGTTTATCAAGTCCTGAATGGACATGGAACATAAAGAAATGAATAGATGGTGGAATATATGGACAATGAGGGATAGTAAAGAGTCGAAATTTACTTCGAACAACAAAACACTGGAAGATGTGGAGAGCAATGACCGTTCACGTCCTGAAAAGACTTGACACATAAAGGAAGAATTGGACTGTCAGTCTACAGTTGCGAAAAACAGCTCGGATCGGAAATTATAAATATTAAGACTTTTCCTTTTATTGCTGGCATCTTTTTCCTCTTTTTTTTCCTGTTACACATTTTAGGCCTCGCCATTTCTTTTATATAAATAATTCTGCAATTTTTGTCTTCTTTCGTTTCTTTTCATTTCTATTTTTCCCTCCAATCGAATACGAAAACGAGGCTGTGTATACAGGTTAATCTTTTAGTCCGTCGACTTGCAAACGATATCCATCATCTTGTTCCGATGAATGGCCAAAATATGACCAACCCCTTCCCCACTTCGATCTCAGACCACAAAATTATCAGTGGAGTGTATTTTTCAATTGTTGGTCTTTTTAATAAAATAATCCCATTGGGCTGAAAAATATTCTATGGCAGTTATCTAAGTCGATCTTAAATATGACCTCTTGCCCCAAATTCAACGCTAACAAAAAAATAAGATTGGACTATATATATATATATATATATATATATATATATATATATATATATATATATATATATATATATATAGTAGCGTGGTGTACCAGGTTAAAATATATAAGGACATAAATGACTAAACAATGATATAAACCCTAAAGTATACATAGGAGCTACTCAAATGTGTTTAACACTAGGATGGCCGAGGTGTCGTTTTCACACCTCAAATTTTCAACAAACTCCTATGGAATAACTAGTTTTGGTTCAATGTTGAGGCTTATGGACAATTATTGAATTTTAGCAAAGATGCTTAACAGACTTAATTCTTTAAAAAATATTGAGTGGAATAGCTGATATTTGAGGTTTTACTTTGAATGGCCGAGGTGTCGTTTTTGACACCTAGGCTATTTTCGGGTAAATGCATTGAAAAATTTCTCACAAGCAATAATACTTGTGTTTATGTCCCCATATCTATTTATCTATCTATCTATATACACACATAATTTATATATATATATATATATATATATATATATATATATATATATATATATATATTAGGTTGGTGCAAGAATAATGACGTAAGAATGTCGTTTTTTTGATGTTAAAAATACGTCAAAAAACGACATTACTACGTCATTATTTTTGCAATAAAGCTAATATATATATATATATATATATATATATATATATATATATAATATATATAGAAATTTTATTCACCAATAAAATATTGACATCCTTCGAACAAAATCCCAAGAACTTCATTTCTTGCCATTTTTTACATTTATCCGACAACACACAGTAACCTTTTGCCTTGAGTGTCTCATGCATTAGTTTATCATTAATTTATATATATATATACATATAAAGAATGAATTTAAAACCAGATGGAGGCAGCATAAATGCTCCTTCAACAATATAAATAAAGAAATCAGATCTCTATCTAAATATTTTTGGCATTTGAAGGAAATGAATAAAACACCAAAAGTAAAATGGAAAGTTATAAACAAAACTAGAACTTGTAAAACTTGGGATGACCCATGCCCTTTATGCCTACATGAAAAACTACACATTATTAAGTTTCTAAATAATAAAACTCTATTAAACAATAGATAGGAGATTTTTTGCCGACATCATCAAATTTTTTCATTGAATAATTAGCATAAACAAAAAATAAAATGATTTTTAAATTCCATAGTCCTAATAAATAATAAATGCCCTACAAAAAAGATAACCCTTTATGAAGTCGTCAAAAAACAAATGTTAGCGACTTACGAGAGTTTTTTTTTTTATATACACAATACCCTTTCAGAAAAATAAAAAAATAAATAAATCTCCATAGATACTTAACCAGACTAGACGATGTCATCTTCCGTTTTAAATTTAGACACCCCAACCTTACCCTGACTTGACATCTGTGAATGTAACTGAGATATTGATACAAATTATTAACACCTTACGCCCCTTCTTCTTTAAACAATTGCTCTAGCCGTTACCATAGTAATCTTAATTTCTATAATGGATATGCTTATAAAACACGTAAATTTCAGGAATAAGTTATTCCAGTAAAAATTTCGCTTGAAGATGGAAGAGGGCTTAGTACTTTAATTCAATTTAATTCAAATAATTATATTGAAGATTTCGGCTCTTGTTTTGAAACATGAGAACTCTTATGTAGCGTTGGAATCATATTTTAAATAAATAATATATATATATATATATATATATATATATATATATATATATATATATATATATATATATGATCTGTGTTTTTTATATGCGCATTACCAACGACTTGTCTTTAAGCATATACCGGGTTTAACAGCAAAATTGTCCAAATCATGTAGCAGCATAACTGTCCATCCCTCAAAATGTTTAATATCTAAAAAAACAAAAAAACTAAACTAATTGAGTTTCTTTTTCTTTTTCTTTTTTTTCCAGGTTTTCAGATGAGGCGTTTAGCCATCTCGACACTATTTGTCTTAAGAATCAATAAAAGAAATAAACACTCTTTGAGTTATTCAGCAAGAAAGAGAACAGTTTAAAATTATTTTGTGTCAGCGCCACTGTCTTCTCAATTGAGCAATGGTGAGAGGAAAAAGATCATTCAAGCTCTTCAGTAATGGTACCAACATTCATAGTCTGGCTTCCATCTTCAAAGTCCATTCAAGAACCAACAAGAGAACGGTAAATAAGTTTAAAAAAAAGAAAAGTGGATCAGGTGGTCACAATATTAAGAGGGATCATTATTTCAAATTGAAGTTAAAGAGATAACTTAAAAAAATCCAATTCAATAAGACATTTGATACGTAAGAGAGAAGTTTCATCTATGACAGTCCGAGGAGCAGTGAAAATAGACTTGAAAATAAAATCATACGTGAAATGTGTGAGAAACATAGTACTTAATCATCGTTTATGTGTGCAGTTAGATGTAAGAGAGCGTGTGAATGAACAAGTGAGAACAAAAGGAAACAAATAAAATTGACATAATTTCTGTTTGAATTTCTGAGATGAGGAGTTACCTACTATTTTTTTTTAATCATTTCACCCCAAGCAAGGTAATAAAGCCACTAGGACGCAAGGGGGATACTGAGTGTTAGAAAATGTGCAGTAGCAAATCTACTATTAAGGAGAGAAGACAATAAAAGAACAAGAATTAAGAAGACAGAAGATAACGATTTATATTACATTTAAAGTTTTGAAGAACAATGTTGACTAGGAAGCAAGAAGCCGGAAGCGTTCCACAAACGAGAAATGCGAGAGAAGAAACTGTTAGTACAGAACTTACGGTTGCATCTTACCATTTCAACCGTAGGATTATGAAACCTTACCGCCAATCTCGTACTGCGTTTAAATTCGAAAAATCAAGCTACCGTAGCGGAAAGTACATCAGAACAATTACCATGAAAGTAAAAGTGAAAGTGAAAGTGAAAGTATTTCTAGAAAAGACACAAAGAAGCTGCATTACGATAATGAGGAAGGGACTGAAACCGAGATGCCAAACCAGGACCAATAACATTGCAGATTCTTCTTTGGATTTTTCAAGAACCTTTAAATATATAGTAGGCGCACCAGAGCAGATGTAGCAGCAATATGCAAAACAAGTACGAATGGGAGACGTACAAATATGTTGCCAAGCACGACGAACCAAATTTCTTAGTTGCAGACTTAGCATCTGATTCAATATAATATTTCTACGTTAGTCCGAAAAAGTGCAATTAGTCACTCTCCTGGAGGTCAGCATCAGCCGTGCTGGGGAAAGGTTAAAATGGTTCTTTCAGATTATTAAAATGATTTACATTCATATTACTGTGCTTCCTTATTGTGTTGTTGCTATAACGACGT